CGGACTAGATGATCTGCTCAGGTCCCTTCCGACCCTAGAAACTATGAAACTATGATGAGAAGATTTGGTAACAGTTGCTTTCAGGAATTTTGGTTCAGGTGTTGCTAACATAATGTTCACTAAAGGATTTCCTTGTATATCAGTCCATCCATCTGACATCAGAGTCAGTGATTCTTCTTTTCCAATCTTTTGAATAACCATTTTTTTAACTCTCATACTATCTAAGAGAGAATGTGTTAAGCAATAATGTGACAGAAACTTATATGGTGGACGAATTAGTTTATGTTCCTTCCAGTATTGATTTTTCTATTATGGAAAGAGGTGTACCACTTGCAAATATAGCTCGAGCTAATGTCTCTCACGCTTTTTCTTGATCTTCTGACATCTTGTCCACAAAGCTTGATAAAAAGCTTGACTGTCTTGAACAGCTACTCATGGTGGATTGCATACCTGGTGACAGTGATCTTGAAAGCAAGGATCCTGCTCCTTCTTTTTCGAGACCTGGCAGCTCAACATTTTCACTTTCCATTTTTTGCAAATCTGCTATTTCACTTGAGCTACCAAGGTCCTGGAACAAGAGGGGGAAAATATTTTTATTTTAGCCTATTCTAGCCTGGCCTCATCCATCAGAAAGAGAAGGACAAGCAGCAGAGAGCTACTTTGGGTACTTAGTGCAAGCAGAAAAGGAGGATACAAATATTTGACATAAATAAATAAATGATAGTCCAGAGTTGCATTAACAACTTTTAAAATTATAATGTTTTAATACAATATAGATGCTAGTCTATATGTTGTGTTGTTTAATATATCAATTTGTTTACTTATATAGGATTCCCAAAGCAGACTTCTCAGATGATGATGTTCTACCACTTCGTTGTATTCGCTTTCTGTACATGGCTTGTATTCTTTCAGGACAGTTTCTACATGTTATTAAATGTTCCTTCATTCTTGCTGAGGTGTTAGCATACTCCTGTCTGCTATATTTACACCTACCAGCTTTCTTCCTTCCATGGCTTGAATGTCACTAGAATGATGCCACACACTAGTTTTTTTTTTTTTTTTCTGATTAGGCATTATTATGACTACTTCAAATGAAAAGTACTAAAAAATTAACAGATCTTATGCAAACACTTTCAGTTTCCCCAACTCAAGTAAAGAAATGAAACACTGCTCTGTGTGTTTGAAAGTGAATCAAAAAATAATCACACTTTTAGTTTTGGTTTTGTTTTCACTTGCAGTCTAAGATGAAATAAGAATTTTAGTATTGGTTTTGATTTGACTTGCACAGTCAATTACGTGAATTCATAACTTGATTTTTGGTTTCAATTATTATGTGAATGTATTAACCCTCCTCTTTACAAATCAGTAAAACACATAGGTACTTTCTCACGTGCTGCCTACAAATAATCACCTGAAAAAAAAATTACAACTTTGAAACTGACACGCTTGCCTAATATTGTATTGGCATCCATTCATTGTTACTAATGAATTTCATGAAACAGTGAATTCTTATGGAAAATTTCTCATGGAAAAATAAAGCACTGGAAAATTTTCTGCCCCACATCTCTGTCTGCAATTCTTCCAACGTGCACCTTCATTAATTCAATAAATACAAATTATTACAAAATTGACAGGTTACTTTAATAGATTAATTTAGCTTAATCCTTGGAGAGATCCAGGGCATCCTTATCATCATGTCTGCTTTGTATATGTATCTATACGTGTTGGTGATCTGAGGAACCCTGTAACCTTTAGTACAAAGAAAAACAAACAAAACCTCCAAGCTGACATTGTGGCTATCTTCAAACTCCCCTACAATCTCAGTCGTCCATCATAATTTAATTTCAGAGTGTACCATACATCTGCAAACCCTGGAGCCAATCTGTGTCAGCACTGAGGGTTTATTTAAAAAAAAAAGAAAAAGAGCATTCAATCAAATACATAGTGTAATGAATCAGCTGAGGGTGATTCTGCAATACTCTTCAAGTTCCTGATTTGGGAAACTGAATACCATTTTCTGCGGTGGTAGCCTTATCCTTTTCATGGTGTTCAGGTGGCAACTCTGATGCAGAGATGAAAGCCATCAGATAGGTGTGATTGGAACTATGCCCCTAGAGTGGGAGAAGGAATCTCAACAATAGCATTTCTGTTCTGCCTCCTTTGCAGTTAATTAGCATTTTTGGACGCTTTCAGTTTCAGGTGTTTTTATTCAATCAAATTTGAATCCAATCCAGTCCCAATAGCATACTGTGTATCCCCAAAGGGCACATAGTGCTGCCTTTTGGACATGTGTTTTATCTGCAAAGGACATACAGCTATTGAGCTATATTTTCGTTGTGTTTTAGTCAAAAAATGGATGTGCTTTACTACTTTTTATGAGAGACATCTTATCGAAGTGGTGTGTAGTTATGGCTTTTGTTATCATGAAATGTTGCTATCAGAACTATAATTGCCCATCAAGAATGACCGGGGGTAGGCGGGGGGGAGGCTGGGATGGTGTGCCCCATCTAACCACCTAACGCCCCATTCTGCCGCAAGGTGGAATCTCTGTCTATTTAATGTTTGATTTTGGCATGTTAGCATAAATACTAATAAAATTCTTAGAGGAATGTGCATTCAGAATAACTAAGCATTGTGCTTTGCTGCAGGATGGGGTTCAGGTAACAGAAAGTGGGAAGTTTCATGTTAGTCCAGAGGGATTTCTCACCATTCGTGATGTTGGAACAGCTGATGAAGGCCGATATGAATGTGTTGCCCGGAATACTATAGGCTACTCTTCTGTTAGCATGGTTCTAAGTGTTAATGGTAAGGTTTGTAAATATAATGCATGACAAGGTATCAGTTAGCTCCTAAATGAATGATGATTGTTTAACTTACAGACACAAAATGCGATTAAAAACACTAAAGGCCAACTTGTGAACTTCTTGCTTGCCTCTGTAATTCTGTTGAATTGTAAGACTAAATTTAGGTGACTGACTGCTTACCAGTTAGTAAAAAGTTGAAAAACTCAGCCAAAATCTTTCTAAGATTTAGGTCTCGATGTTTTCTTTTCTTTTTCCCTGTGATTCATGACCCGGTACTCTTGAAACATAGTAATGGCTGAAGCCCAAACATTTGGGGCTGCAGGAGCCATACTAGTTTCCTCCTGAGGTATTCTTTTGCTGTATCTGAATTTGCTGATGAAATATTCAGTCTGACTTCTGAGCAAATGACTTGACTTGAAAGCAAATCATCTGGCATTTTTAAAGGAAGCCTCACCATAGCCAGTTGGAAATTAGGTTGCTGTTGCAGGCAAGGAATTCCTAAAAGTGATTCTTAATGGTTGTATAAGAAGCAATGGAAAGAACAAATGAGCAAGGGTAGGTGTAACAAAGGAGTTTTTATATAATATATTATTATATTATATAAAATAATATGTGTGCATGTCTCTCTATATATGGTAAAAACCTGTCTGAGAGTCTTGACAGTGTAGTATAATCTCTCTCTGATATTTGTATAATCACTTTACATTTATATAGACTGGTCCTAAAGCATTTACTGATGGTGCCAAACTTTATTTTTTCAAATTCCCTTTTATTAAAATACTGTTCCTTTTTGCTATTTCCTTTTTATTAAAATATATCTATACACCATTTTTCCTTTCCCTAGCACTAAGATTAAATCTAATATTTTTTACAACATATCTTTATAACAGTACAGTATAGATTCAAAGATCTCTTTTTGTATAATTGATTATTATTTCCCACTGCCCTTCAAAATATTCTTCATTTTGTTGTGCTCGCATTAACTTGTTTTAATGATCTTTAACGTGCCAGTTAATCTGCCCTCTGAACATACAACATAAATAAAAAACATGAAAAGCATAGAATTAAATTTTCTGTATAGATGGTATAATACTATGGCCATGGACAAATATGCTGTTTGAAGCAATCTAAATAGCACGAATGCAGGTGTTCACAGATGAAACACTTCATAAATGATCCTTGAAAAGGAGATCTTTGAAATGCTTCATTTTGAAGCACTTCCTGCAATATTGAGAGGCAAGGATTTCTTTGGGTAATATTTTTATTTAACCAACTGCATAGTTAGTATAGAGTTATACAAACTTTGGAATGCAAGACAGTCTTTTTTTCTTCCTGGAACATCTTTACTTTCCAGCAGTCTTCTGGTGCTCTGCTCTGTTCCCCCCAACCCTGTGGGAGTTGGGGAGGGCAAGAATGGGGTGAACAGCCAGTGAGTGGTCTTCTGTGCACTTAGCTGACCTTAGGAACCTACTAAGGCCAAGAGGTATGCATGGGATTTTTGGTCTCCTACTCTTTGCCTAAACAGCAGTGTAGCTGCATGTTGTTTTTTTAGCCATCTTGAGGCATTTGGTGGTGGGCCAGTGGGAGGGAGGAATGGAGGTAGGGGAACTGCATGTCTGCATGATGTTGAAGTATATCAAGTATGAAGTACTCCAGGTTTCAGAGTGCTCCAAATGCTCATCCATCCTATCTTCCTATCTCTCTTTCTCAGCTCCCTTCTTGTATTCCCTTTTGACCAAAAACAATTATTTGCTCCAAACTCTGTATGTCAGTACATCTGAACTCCAGGAGAACACCCAACAGCACCCTGTAGAGTTGGGAGTTATTCCCTGGAATAAGCTAACTATGAGATGAAAAAGCCACAGTTTATCTAAAATATTTCTTTTAAACTAAGATTAGCTTTGTTCTGTGTTCCCAAAATATATTTTTAATATAACTCCCTTTCCTATCATTTCGGTATAGGTTAAATAATATTTCTACGGAAGACTAAAGCCATGGGAGGGACAGAAATGTTCCTTGCCATGGTATTCTAATACTATCATGACTTTTAAAGTCTGGATTACACTTGAAGCAGTACACAATGAGGATACATTTTTGATGTCTTCAAAAATATTTGAATATTTCAAAGGTGTGTTCTAAAAATTAAGTAAAAATTTAGTACCTATGATTATTTTAGGGTCCCTGTAAATTGTTTTCCATTAGAATAGTAAACCTATTGGTCAATGAATTGGAAAAAAAAAGTGTAGTATGTCAGCTGAAAAAGCAAGCTATTGGTGTTTAAAACAAAAAATAAAATACAATTGCAATTTCTGCTGTTTAGGTCCTGAAGTTTAGAATTCCAAACATGTTTATCCATATTCAGAAAAATCATTCTTCAGGTATTTTAATGGAGCCAGAAGATGAGCTATCAGTTGTACAAAATTAGTGACTTCGTGCTTGAAGATGAAGCTGTATATTTAAAAAAAAATCTCAGAGAAAAACATTATAGGATATTAACAGTTTTATATCAAACTGACAGCAGCAAGGATACTCACAATTAACATTGGCTCGATATAGCTAATCATTGCATTGCTGTGGTCACCCCCTTTTTCCTCCAACTTTTCTGTTCTCAGTGTCACTTTCCAAAATTAAAAGTTCTGTGGATCTCCTCGAGGATTGGCAGTATAAAGATCCCATTCTAGAGCTTTGTCTCAGTCAGTAAACTCAAGCACTGAAGTCAATGGGAGTCTTTTCATTGATTGCTGTGGATCCTAGATCGTAGTCATTGGTCTAAGCATCATTAAGCTGCTGATTTGCTACACCAGATCAAAAGTTCAGATATGCAAACTTCACTTCATATTCATTTTTTGTTTTGGTCATGTTTACAAATTTATAAAATTTATAAAGATTACACCCATGTCCTCTTTAATGGTCTCATGAACTTTTGACATACCACTTTATTATATTAAAAGCAGGTTAATTTAAAAAATGATTTTTAACTGGCATTGCAAAAACTTAAGTCCTCAGCAGGTGTAAATATGTTTTAATAGAGTTCCCAAATGGTTAGTAATTTTAAATTTTGGAGCAAGTAAAACTTATAGAAAAGTGGTTCTCTGTGAAACTGAAATGATGTAGTGTCTAGACACTACTTTATAGGAGTAACCATTTTGTGTGGTAATTTTTGCTCTAATATGCAACTTCATGTTTTTCTAGTTCCTAATGTCAGTCGAAATGGAGATCCATTTGTACAAACATCAATTGTGGAAGCAATCGCTACTGTTGACAGAGCTATAAATTCAACACGTACACATCTATTTGACAGGTATTGTGCTATTAAAAAAACTGGGAAGCCGAAATTAATTTTGGATATACCAAAAGTTATAGAAAAATCATCAAAATCGATGCATAGGAGAGATGAGACAATGTCATGATTTTATATAACAACTTTAACATCTGGTTAGTTTCTAGAGTCCTGGTAATATGGCATGAAATCACTATGTAAAAATAAATTGCACCATGCTATCCAAAAAAAGTTTTATCCAATAAGGCTCTAAATCAGGATTTAGCAACCTTTTAGAGGACTGGGCTGGCCACTTGAGACTTGGCTACCTTTCCCCTGAGCAGCCAAGCTGCCTACTAATGCCTCTGCCATGTACTACCATTTCTCATCCCCAACAGCGGTGGGAAGGGTGGGATGGCAGCAACAATGTTGATGGTGGCAGCATGTGCCACAGGAATGGGGAAGAAAGAGCAGTGAGAGCTCTATAGGGTGGCGGGGACACTGTAGAGGGAATCAGCAGTGTGTTGGTGAAGGGGGGCAGCCACACTCTTCCTTTTGCTGCTGCAGTCCCAGTCAAGTCAGTTTACAGACCAGTTCTGGCCCATGGACTATACTAGAGGTTGGCAACATTTTTGGGCAGAATGCCAAAAATACCCACAGCCTTGACTTGTAAAATGTTTGCATGTCAGGAGCAGATGGCAGGGGAGCTATGAGAGACCCGATCTTTGTTGTAGCAGTGCAGCCCTCTTTCCTGCTGTCCGCCCCAAGGCACGCCTGCACCCACTGCCAGCAGTGAGCCAGGCTGGGCTCCACCAACCCAGGTGTAACCTCTTGCAGTCTTCCAGCTGCCTGCCACAGCTGGCCTGGGCAGTAGGCCCCTGCCACATTTCATGGAGCCCGGGCTGCTTGCAGCAGGCAGCGGAAAGGCTGCAAACAGCTGCAGCAGGGTGTGCAGAGCCCCAGCCTGGCTCATTGCAGGCAGCAGGTGCACGTGCATCTTGAGGGAGACACCAGGGAACAGGACTGGGGCTACACTTCCTCCTATGGCTCCCCCACTGTCCTCCTTAGGCCCGAATGCCAAGCAAAATGCCTTCGTGTGGCACACTGTGGCACATGTGCCAAGAGTTGCATACCCCTGAGCTATCCATTGCTTACCCCTGCTTTAAATATTTACCCCAAACATTTGGATAAAGGGGTATGTTTCAAGAGCTCGCTGCTATTTTAATGTTGGTCTAACACATGTTAATGTAAATTTAATCTATTTAAGTGTTTAAATATATTTATTCTTATTTATTTTTGCCTTCCATTTTGGGATGAGTAACCAAGGTATAGTCTAATCATATCTAGTAATATCTTTGGTTGCAGAACTTATATTATTTGTAGTGTTATGGTTGTTCTCTTATGGCTCTAGTGTATGCATTTACAATTTTTTTCCAATTATCTATTAGTCGTCCTCGTTCTCCAAATGATTTGCTAGCCTTATTTCGATACCCAAGAGATCCATACACTATTGAGCAAGCGAGAGCTGGAGAAATATTTGAAAGAACCTTACAGCTTATTCAAGATCATGTACGAGATGGTTTAATGGTTGACCTAAATGGAACAAGTCAGTCCTTTTTTCCTTATTTTTCTCTGTGTTGCACTGTGTATATGATCTCAAATACTTATACTTCAAGCGGTGTTAATTTTAAAAACCTGACTGCCATTTAAGTCATTGGAGCTCAGCTGACCATGCAAAAGTTCAGCAAGAGCTAAGGTTGCCAATTTGGGTCCTTGCTTTGCATATTGTTATGTTTTGATGTAGCTTCATAGAGATCTGCTTGTGTGTTATTTTAATTCCCACTTTGGCATGCAAAGAAGTCTTTACTGCAGTCAAATTCTTACAAGTGGTTCAACTGAAGTACATAGTGTTGTCTGGTAGAGTGTGAGCTGTTGTTCTTTAGCAAGACTTATATGCTGATAAATCTCAGTATATTTATTGGTTATTTTCTCAGATAGAAATATTATAAATCTGTATGTCTAATTACAGAAAAGAGATGACCTAAGAGGAAAGATTTGACATTTGTGATCATTTTGCAAAATAAGGTTTTATATTTATTATAGCAGTTTTCCTAGCATTAACTACTTCTTCCATTCTGAACAAAGTAGAATATCAAACTAAAGTACGGTAGTTGTTTCATGGAGGCCTGTTCTTAAATTGATTTGTGATTAAGAAACATAATTGCTGCTTTTTTATAAATCATAGAAATATGCAGTTTAATATTTCTTCTCTTTTAATTGTTGAACTTAGCTTTCAAACTCATAATTCCCAACTTGAGAACATACAACTAAACATACAAAGAAAACTGTAAGGTAATTGTGTTGCAGTACCTAGAAGTTTTTATTTTTGGCAGTTGATATGTAGTGTTTCTGCACTTGAAACGTATGAGCAAAGCATTTGGAAATAATGATGGCATTTTAGAAGTAATGCTGAGATTAGGCACACAACCAAAAGCTACACTAAAGTATGAGAGAAAATATTTTCCTTATAGTGTTCCTTTTGATGTTTCTAATTGAGAATGTACTGTAACTTCCTAAAATTCTAACTATGACCCTAAACTAGTCCAACATTTATAAGGCCAAATAGAGTAATCTTTGTGGAATTGGGACACCATAATATTTGCTGGTAAAGGTAGACTATTAAATTAGACTTAAGCAAACAATTTACAAGGCATAATTCATCACAAAAAATCATATTCTTTTTGTAAACACAAAAGCTCATGATTTCTATGAAATTATTAGTAATTGAAAATGTCTTTTTTACTCCCCCTCTTCCCCCACATTTTGTAACTATACTTTGCAAGTATTTGAAAGTTTAGAAAATTGCATTTTATCACATCAGTGACATAGAAATGGATTTTTTGCCTTACTGGATGCAAATGCGTGTATTTGTAGTGCAAATCCATGCACATCTCATTTTGAGTTTTCATGAATAATTGTGTATGAAGCTACATGTTATTAAAAACTAATTAGTCTAATGTTGACGGAAAGGCAATACAGTAGGGCTCCTGTCATGATCATATGAGTTTTAAAATGTAAATAAAAATCTTAGACTTTATATAGCATTAGAAATAGTTTATATAGTATTGGGACTTTTTCTCAGAACCAGGTCTAGTGTTTGATCTCCCAAAATGGGTATCTTTATTTATTTTAAAGAAACTAGAAGTGTGAAAGTAATATGTTTTCATGTAAACGGTCTCTCTCCTAGTCTCTCGTTTTTGATCTGGGGAAGCTATGTGAAACCTTGGATCTTTGATCCAGATCCTATTTTACCTTCATATGCTTAAGTCATGCACATGCAGCTGTGTAAATGCATTTTTTGCACTTGGGCACAGTTTTGGATTCACCTTGTTGCACCTACCCCGTGCTTCTCTAGTAAGTATACTCAGAAAGCTTCATTGTGACCACATAGCTACCTGGGGCAATAGAACTTTCCAGGAATGAGCATAGTGCAAGACAAATTAGTCTCAGGCCCCTGGCCGATTTGCAATGAAAGATGTAATGGGATCTGAGGCCTGATGCCCACAATCATGCTTCCTGCCACGGCACATGTGCATGTCTAATTTTTTTTTACACTTGCTTCATCTTATCTCTGATTAGATTATAATTTTTCCATCTCAAGGAACATGGCTACTTCTATGTACCTAGAAAAGTTGGGTATTGCAGCTGTTGCTGTTACTTCTTTTTTATTACTGATTCATCATAGTAAATATTGCAGAATATTTCAAATAAACTCATGGATATTTGAAAGGATGCCATGAAGCACAGCACAGGACACAGAATAATGGGTATAAACAGCAACAAAGCAGATTTAGATTAAATCTCAGGAAAAAAATGTCCTTACAGTTGCAACAGTAGAACAATGGAACAAGCTGTGGAAGGAAGTTGTAGAACCTACTTCAATAGAGGTTTTTAAAAAAAGGCTGGATAACCATTTGTCTCTGGTTTACGAGTAGCACATCCTGCATTTGTGTAGTGTGTTGAACTAGATGGTTCTGGCAGACCCTATGATTCTATGATAACTATCTTGACGTTTGATATTAGTTGGAGGTCAGATTTTCAAAGAGTTTAACTCATTTTGGTTACCTTTACATGAAGTGGACATGTTTTCAAATAATTTGCGTGGATGCCAAGTAGTTTTGAAAGTATACTGACTTCAGAGCTGTTTTTAAAAATGTGACATTTGGTTGATCTTTTCCCCCTTCTGTTTAAAAGTTGGCATCTATATAAGGCTTCATTCTGACCTTCTAATGGTAGCATTCTCTTCTTAACCAATAGATCTGTTTAGTAATATGGAAAATATAATAAAATTTTGTTTAGTAGTTTATTTGTGATATTAGATTTTGGACAGGAATATATCTTTAATTTTCCCTCTGCCTCTCTTTTATTTCAGGCTATCACTATAATGATCTTGTATCTCCACAGTACTTGAACCTGATAGCAAACCTATCGGGCTGCACAGCCCACAGAAGAGTGAATAACTGTTCAGATATGTGCTTTCACCAGAAATATAGGACTCATGATGGAACTTGCAATAACCTGCAGCATCCAATGTGGGGAGCCTCTCTAACAGCCTTTGAACGCTTGTTGAAGTCAGTTTATGAAAATGGATTTAATTTGCCTAGGGGCATTGGATCTAATAGACACTATAATGGATACACACTCCCTATGCCTCGCTTGGTTTCCACTACTTTAATAGGAACTGAAACAATAACCCCTGACAATCAGTATACTCACATGCTAATGCAGTGGGGTCAATTTCTTGATCATGACCTTGACCTCACAGTTGCAGCTTTAAGTGAAGCAAGGTTTTCTGATGGTCAGCATTGCAGTTCGGTTTGTACAAATGATCCTCCTTGTTTCTCAATCATGATACCACCAAATGACCCCAGAGTTAGAAATGGTGCACGCTGCATGTTTTTTGTACGTTCCAGTCCTGTTTGTGGAAGTGGCATGACATCTCTTTTAATGAATTCTGTTTACCCACGGGAACAGATCAACCAGCTGACTTCTTATATTGATGCATCCAATGTATATGGTAGTTCAGACCATGAGGCACTAGAAATCAGAGACTTTGCAAGTCAAAGGGGCCTTCTGAGGCAGGGTATTGTACAAAGATCAGGCAAGCCTCTTCTTCCCTTTGCTACTGGTCCACCAACAGAATGCATGAGAGATGAAAATGAGAGCCCGATTCCTTGCTTCTTAGCTGGGGATCAGCGTGCTAATGAACAGCTGGGTCTCACCAGTATGCATACATTGTGGTTTAGAGAACACAATAGAATTGCTACAGAGCTACTGAAACTGAATCCACATTGGGATGGTGACACGATATATCACGAAACACGCAAAATTGTTGGTGCAGAAATGCAACATATAACATACAGCCATTGGCTACCTAAGATCTTAGGAGAGGTAGGCATGAAGATGCTTGGAGAATATAAAGGTTATGATCCCAATGTTAATTCTGGCATAACTAATGAGTTTGCAACTGCCGCTTTTAGGTTTGGTCATACACTTATCAATCCTTTATTGTATCGGCTGGATGAAAACTTTGAACCTATTCCACAAGACCATGTACCTCTTCATAAAGCATTCTTCTCTCCATTTCGGATTGTAAATGAAGGCGGCATTGATCCACTTCTAAGGGGATTGTTTGGTGTGGCTGGTAAGATGCGTGTACCATCGCAGTTACTCAATACAGAATTAACAGAAAGACTCTTCTCCATGGCACGTACTGTGGCTTTAGATCTGGCAGCTATGAATATTCAAAGAGGCAGAGATCATGGAGTTCCTCCCTATCATGATTTTAGAGTGTACTGTAATCTATCTTCAGCTCAGACTTTTGAAGATTTGAAAAATGAAATTAAGAATCCTGAAATCAGGGAGAAACTTAGCAGGTGAGCTTGAAGTGCAAAAGAATATTTTTAAAGCAAGTGTAATATATCTAATTGTGCATATGAAATTAATACTTATTGAAGTGCATGAACCCTAGAAGAAAATGTACATGAAGCAGGGATAAGGGAAATTTCCCACAAACCATCCTGTTCTCAACAGGAAATGTGAGAGGCTGAGATAAGATTTAGTAACACTTTGGTAAGTTATGGACTGTCTTTTCCTTACTAGTGCCCCTAATTGTGCAATTCTTCTGCTTCAAAAATTGTAGAAATTGTGTGAAGTTCCTGTGTCACTCTCTGCAAGTCTCTGAAGTGCCAGCTGTGTCAGCTAGTATTACATCCCATTTTATGAGTAATATTAAAAATATGTAAACATATTTAAATTTAATACTGAGATTGCCTGACTGTTTATTTCTATAGTTTTACATTCCTTATTTTGAATAAAATGTAGCAGAAATCAAGCTAGAGGTGATATTATACCACTGTCATATTTTTCTGTTAATTTTTCAGGCCTGTTGCCCATATTTGTATCAATACTGACTTGTTTGTAATACATGATTTTTCATGCATACTATTGGTATTTTTCTTGTTATAGATTATATGGTTCACCGCTGAATGTAGATTTATTTCCTGCTCTAATGGTAGAAGATTTAGTTCCCGGTAGTCGATTGGGACCGACTTTGATGTGTCTGTTGAGTACACAGTTTAAACGTCTTCGGGATGGAGACAGGTAATTCCCAGTACTGTGGAAAACTTTAAGTGATTAAAAAATTTTTAGTTGCAAAAGTATGTTTAAGCATCTTGTTTCAACAGAAAATCTCCATTTCCTTTTCTTACATGGTTCTAATATAGAAATGAAAAATAAAGCTACCACTTTCGCTTCTTTCACAAACTTCGTAAACTGTATTTTATCTCAGTTTCATTTCTATAGTTGACATCACATAAGAAAATAAATGGAGGTTTGAAACTAAATAAAGCTTTTCAAAGGACCTAAAATGTTAGCTGTTCTGGCTTTATTTTTTGGAATCATAATTCCAAACTGAGGCAGACACGGTTCTTTGGGTGAATCTGATGCCTTTTATTTGACCAACTTAAATAGTTTCATAGTTTCTAGGGTCGGAAGGGACCTGAGCAGATCATCTAGTCCGACCCCCTGCCATGGCAGGAGAGAGTACTGGGGTCAAACGACCACAGCAAGGTGTTCATCTAACCTCCTCTTAAAAACCCCCAGGGTAGGAGCCTGCACCACTTCTCTTGGAAGTTGGTTCCAGACCCTAGCTGCCCTAACCGTGAAGTAGCACCTCCTGATATCTAACCTAAACCTACCCTCTGCCAGCTTGTGACTGTTATTTCTGGTCACTCTTGGCAGTGCTCGGGAGAATAGTTGAAAAACAATTCCAAACTGATGTGTACAAGTCCATAGGGCCATATGGGATGCATCCAAGGTTGCTGAGGGTTGTTGGCTGATTGATTGCAGAGCCATTTGCCATAATCTTTGAAAACTCATGGTGATCAGGAAAGGTCCTGGATGACTGAAAAAGGGCAAACATAGTGCCCATTTTTAAGAAAGGGAAAAGGGAGGATCCAGGGAACTACAGACCAGTCAGCCTCACCACAGTACCTGGAAAAATCATGGAGCAGATCCTCAAGGAATCAATTTTAAAGCACTTGAAAAGGTTGAGTAGGAACAGTCAGCATGGATTCACCAAAAGCCAAGTCATGCTTGACCAACCTGATTGCCTTCTATGACGAGGTGACTGGCTGTGAGGATGTGGGGATACCGGTGGATGTGGCGTACCTTGATTTTAGCAAGGCTTTTGATATGGTCTCCCACAACATTCTCGCAGGCAAGCTAAGGAAGTATGGCCTGAATGAACAGACTGTAAGGTGGACAAAAAACTGGCTGGAGCATTGGGCTCAGAGGATAGTAGTCAACAGCTTGATGTCTAGTTGGCAGCCAGTATCAACTGGAGTGTCCCAGGGGTTGGTCCTGGGGCCAGTTTTGTTCCATGGTTTCATCAACAACGTGGAAGATGGCATAGAGTGCACCCTCAGCAAATTTGTAGATGATGCCAAGAGGTGGGGAGTAGCAGATACACTGGAGGGTAGGGGTAGGATTCAGTGACCTAGACAAATTGGAGGATCGGGCCAAAAGAAATCTCATGAGGTTCAGCAAGGACAAGTGCAAAATCCTGCACTTAGGCTGGAACAGTCCCATGCACTAGTACAGGCTGGGGGCTGACTGGCTAGGCAGCAGCTCTGCACAAAAGGAGCTGGGGGTTACAGCGGACAATAAGCTGAATATGGAACAGCAGTGTGCTTTTATTGCCAAGAAGGCTAACAGCATGCTCGGCTGCATTGTTAGGTGTGTTGCCAGTAGGTCAAGGGAAGTGATTATTCCCATCTATTCAGCACTGGTGAGGCCACATCTGGAGTACTGTGTTCATCTTTGGGGCTCCCACTACAAAACGTATGTGGGCAAATTGGAGAGTCCAGCAGAGGGTGACAAAAATGGTGAGGGGGCTGGGGCACATGACTTATGAGGAAAGACTGGGGAAACTGGGCTTATTTAGTCTAGAGAAGAGGAGACTGAGAGGAGACTTAGTAGCAGCCTTTAACTACCTGAAGTTGGCTTCGAAAAAGGATGGACGTAAGCTGTTCTTAGTGGTGACAGATGAAAGAACAAGGAACAACAGTTTCAAGTGTTGCCAGTAGGGGAAGTTTAGGTTAGATATTAGGAAGAATGTTATCACTAGGTGGGTAGTAAAACACTGGAACAAGTTACCCAGAGAGGTGGTGGAAGCTCCGTCCTTGGAGGTTTTCAAAACCTGGCTAGACAGGGTTTTGGTTGGGATGACCTAGTTGGGGATGGTCCTGCTTTGAGCAGGGAGTTGGATTAGATGACCTCCTGAGTTCCCTTCCAGTCCTAACTTTCTATGATTTTATGAATTACAGAGTTGGAATGGACCTTGAAGTTCAATCAATTGTTAAACCCTTTTACCTTTGTATAGTGTAAATTTCATATTAAGCTCTATGGCTAGGGACAGACATTCATATAGCCTGAGCCTGAATTAATTCATTTTTTGCAGGTCAGTCTAATCTGCAAAGCTTGAACCAATTTGGAGGTGCATAGACATTCCCTTTTCATTTCAGAAATGCAAGCACATGTCTGGAGTGACTGAGGCTAGAAGCTGTGGGGAAGTAGAGCAGCGCTCCCTTCCTTTCCACGGAACTGAGCTGAAGGGGGAAGGGGAGACATGGCCAGACCTCAGCAGGATGCTCTGATTAGACCAGCAGGGAATTGATAGCAGTGTTTATCACACCTAACTCAGTGTTTATTACCCCATTAAGAAAACAACAGAGGTACATTACCAGCTACCTGTTTTGCCTTTGTCACAACATGAACCAGAGCCAGCATGTGGTCTGCTAGCTAATATGCAGATGCCTCTCAGCAAGGCAGAGGGGAGGAGGGAATTCCTGCTTAGCAGGGAGTGATGTGGGGGAAGGGAGCAGCCTGCAAGTCTCTGCTGGAGTTGCAGCCAAGGAGTAGAGAGGAGGGCTGCCCTGCAGTGGAGCAGAGAGCCCTGTCCAGCCCATAGAGTATGCCGAGATGCTGGGGGTGTCTGGTTTAACTTAAACCAGCAAGGGGTCTGGGACAGATACTGCATAAACTGGTTTGACTCAAATCAGTTAAGTCTGATACTACTCTCAACCAGGTTTATCTCCAACCAAATTTCAGCCATTTTCAAACTGGCTTATGTGCGCTGAACATCTGTTCCGTTACAGGTTTAAACCAGTTTCTAATCACTTAAAGCAGTTTATATGTAGTGTCTGTTCCTAACCTAAAAGGCAACCTTGCATGGCTGATTGGCCTCAGGACAGGAAGCCAGGATTTTGTGAGCCTCCTGTAACTGAGACTGACCTTTAACCTCTCACTCTGCTTCTCTGTAAAATAGAGAGAATCCTCCACACGTTCCATTTCTGGGTATATGGATCTAAATCCGCTACTTTATCACATGAATGAGTTGGACCCTCTGTTTCCACACACTAAAATTATCTTGTATGGCAGACATGTTAAATAAGCCTGTGGAGGTGCACAGAAAATATCAGATAAGATTCTGGGGTGTAGGTTGTAGCCGTGTTGGTCTAAGGACATAGGCAGACAAGTTTCTTTGGGTGAATCTGAATATCTTTTATTAGACCAACTTAAATAGTTGACAAACAATTTTAAAGCAAGCTTTCGGGTTCAAAAACCCTTTGTCAAGCTGAGGAAGTTTCTGCAGTCTATGTGCGCTCTTCCTGGATGGAATAAAAAGTAAAGAAGCCAGATTGGGCTGCATACAAGATAGGCAGTCAGTGAAGATGTAAATTGAGGAGTTAATGAGTGAGAGACAGACTGGGTAGGGGTGGGGAGAGAAGGGGGATGAATAGTGGAGAAGTACCTGGGGAGTCAGATCTCAGGCAAGTTATAATATGTCATAAATCCAATGTCTATATTTAGTCCATGATTTTTAGTATCCAGGAGGTTGATGAAGTGGAGTTCATAGGTTCATCTCTGGGAAGTGTTTTGTAAGTTTCCTTTGAGGATCAGGACAGAGAGATTGGAGAGAGAGTGGTTTTCTTGTGAGAAATGTGCCCCCACAGGTAATTGGGTATTCCTGTCTTTGATAGATTTCTGGTGTGCATTCATTCTGGTGCACAGTTGTTGTTTGGTCTCTCCTATGAATTTTCCATGTATTAGTGTACAAATCTGAGGTTTAGGACCTCTCAGCAGTTTCATGGAATCATGGGAAAGTAGGGCTGGAAGGGATCCTCACAAGATCATCTGATCCAATGGCCTGCTCAAGGCAGGATAATCCCTGACTGACCCATCCATTTACAGTGTCTGCTCTTAAACTTCTAGGGATGGAGATTCTACAACTTCTCTTTGAAGCCTGTTGCAATGTTTGACCAGCCTCAGTCAAGAAGTTCTGCCTAACCTCCAACCTGTATTTTTTCTGCTGAAGCTTGAGGCCATTGCTCCTAATCCTCTTCCCTCTATCCTCTTTATAATTGCCCTTCAGGCTTTTGAAGATTGTTTTCAAATCTTCCCTCAGTCTTCTTTTCTTCGGGCCAAATAATCTCAGTTGTTTCAGCCTTTCTTCATAAATCATGCTTCCCAAGTTTCTGTCATTTTTGTTGCTCTCTGTTTGAGTGTTTCCAGTTTTTCCGCATCTTGAAGCGTGGGGAGCAAAACTGGATGCAATACTCCAGGTAAATCCTTACTAGTGGCCAAATAGAGAAAAAAAAAATCTCTTCTCTTTGTTTTCTAAGAGACAGTTGCTTTAAACAACTCAGCATGTTGTTGGCTTGTTTTTGCAGCTAGAGCATACTGTTAGTTCATATTTAACTTATGATTCCCAGGTCCTCTGTAGTACTGCAGACTAGCCTGTGGTTCCCAGATCTCTTTTTGTGCCTGCAATTATTCCATCCCAAATGCCAGGACATTTAACTGTCCATTTTTAATTTCATATGATTTACTTTGGACCTTTTCTTTCTTCAGTTTATCCAGGTCATTCTGGATCCTAGTCCTACCTTCCAGTGTGTTTGCAACTCTACCCAGCTTGGTGCCACCCAGAAAATGGCTAAGCATAGACTCAATCCAGTTATCCAGATCACTAAGGTTAAAGATAGATAGTAAATCCAGGACAGACCCCTGGGGAACCCCACTTGATACCTACTCCCAACTAGATATTGAGCCATTTATAACAGCTTATTGAGCACAATGTTCCAGCCAGTTGACATTCTACCTTACAGTATTTTCATCTAGGAGGTACAGAAGTGATGTTCCCCAGAGGTCTGTCTTGAGTCCAGTATTGTTCAACATTTTCATTAATACTGGGTTGTATGATGGAATTGTGCTTAGTAAATTTATAGATGAGACCAAGTTCATCTAGCCTTTCAAATTCAGGAAGGTAACTACGTTCTACATTCCCATGGTTTGATCTCAAGGACTGATTTAGAGCTCTCAAAATAAGAAGACATGCACTTTCACATATCAGCTCACCAGGTGCTCAAAAAACATCTAATGTTCCAAGTAGGGTCTTCCCTGGAACTAGAAGTTATTTGACTAGCATAAATGGGCTATCCATGCTATATGAATTAACGAGCAGAGTAATGCCAGACAAGGCCAAAGCAATTTTTTTATGTTAGCAGATGGGGAAGGAGATGTAATTGTACACTTTTTGCCAAGAAGTTTTTTGTTTTCAGAATTTGTGTGTTCATCAATAGATTGCAGCAGTCTGATGTATCTGGCTTTTTGAATGTTCTGTGGGTCCAAGACCCCTGGCAGATGTTACATGTATTGTGGCAGATATCAAATTTACATGTGATTAAATTTAATGTACTGTATGTTCAACAAATTTATTGCGCCATAAAAATGGCAACCCAGCCACAATGTTATACATGTAATGTAACACATTTTTGTGTAATACATCTTTGTTACTGGTTTGAAATGCATTTGTGTGGCATGTTAAGCAATGCCCTGCAGTTCTGTAGGAAATCTGTATTCAGGGTTCAGGACAAGGCCAGAAACATGTCAGGGGGTGGAGGGAGTTTTGTTGTTAGCATTGGGCAGAAGCAGTTTCTGGGTCCATTTCATAATTGTCCCATGGCTGATTCCCAGGATGGAGCAGGGGGCAGCCCTGTGTCCCAGTGCAGAACCCAAGGATGTCCTGTGGCCAGTCTCAGGTCATGATCCACTGATTGTCAGGATCAGGCATGGGGCGGCCCTAGGCATGTGATGACAGGTTTCTTGCTCACCAGCAGTCATAAAATTGGAATCTGAGGTATTTTATGCCCAGTCACCAAATCCTCAAAATTGAGAACTGTGTCATTGTGGATGCTCTAATAGTTTTGTGTTTTAAATCTGAAAATAAAAAACATAATTCCTTTTTCCCCTCTCCCATGTGTTCTACCACTTACCTCATCTTGATCCTCTTATGCTAGGAAGATTTCTGCCAGAACAGTTTGTTCTGCATGGGAAGATTGTTGTACTAAAGACTCCTGGCTAATTAAAGGCAATATAAAGTTCTCTGTTACTAGTATCCATTTTCCAAATAATAGAACCTTTATCCTTTGGATATAGCATTCCAAGGTCTCTAGCAAAATGCAAGCTATCTATCATTGTTTTATCATTGTGAGACCACCTAGGAACTTGCCTTTCTTTTCTGTGAGATTACAGGTTATGGTATGAGAACCCTGGTGTATTTACTCCAGCTCAGCTCACTCAGATCAAGCAGACTTCCCTTGCCAGAATTCTTTGTGACAACAGTGACAACATAACCAAGGTGCAACGTGATGTCTTTAAAGTGGCAGAGTTCCCACATGGATATAGTACCTGTGAAGATATTCCTAAACTGGACCTCAGGATGTGGCAAGATTGCTGTGAAGGTTTGTATACAGTGAATGTAATGCTGAATGAAATACATTCATGTATCCCTTGTTTCTAGTTACTTGTTTTTTAACAAGTAAAATCTTGGGCAAGATTTTTAAGAGGTTTTTTTTTTTAGTTACTGCTCAACCTGAAATAGGAAGATGGATAATATGATTACAGAAACAAATGTGAAGCATGCAAAAGTACTGTTCAGCTTCCACAAAAATGATATGCAGGGAGAGAATCTAGTCAGGTTATGATTTAGCTGAAGTGTTACTAAGACTCTTTGAATAGCTGTCAGTGGGTACATGGGCACTGCAATGGCAGAAGTCAGAATTTTTTATTTTTGTTTTACTGACACACTGTACTTTTCTTAGCCTGTATCAGTTCCCTTTGGTCAGTGCCTGGCACCTCCACTCCGTGTAGCTTTGTAAAAGGGAGAGGAAGGACCAACTATTACTACTTTCCATCTAACTGTAGCTGAGAGGCAGAAGAAAGCCTCAAGGGGCATGTCCAGATATGTGCGTACGTTTGGTTCCCCAGGGACAAGTAGCGGCAGTGCACCTTGCGCTGCTACTTGTCCCCGTGGAACGCCCATGCCTTTGGTGCATGGCAAGTTGCCCTGGGTGGGGTAGGGGAGGCTGGGAGCTTCCCAGGGCTGCAGCCATGGTTATTCTGCCATGTGGAGCCTGGCCAGCCGTGGAGCATGGCTTTGGGTGGCCCAGCTCCACTTTTCAGCAGCCTGTGCTGGCCGAGTGTGCGTGGCTCCAGTTTTTTTTTCCCTATGGGTTTTTTTGACCCCTGGATACCCAGGGGTCAAAAAAGCCACAGGAAAAAAAAAAAACCCGGTGCAGCATGGAGAACACCGGACTGTGCCAAACATGGTTGCAGTGCCACATACCGCATGGCCGCATTTGTCTGGACGTGCCCAAGATGATCATTCCCTCTATATATTTTAAATAGTTATTTTTCACATATAGCTGAGGATTAAATACTAATATTTGCTCATTTTAGCATTGGCTTAGGTAACTTCTTTTCTGCTTTTAAGATTTTAATATTTTAGATTTTAAGACTTTGGAGAGATTTTACCAAAAGCAGGTGAAGACCCCTTACAGTGCAATCAGAGTAAAATATTTTAAAGATATTTTATCGTGTGGCATAGCTATCTCCTTCAACAGTGGCCAGTGATACCTTTTTCCTTGTTCAGAAGAAAGCTATATTCCAGGTATGTCCTGCTTGTGTATCATTTGATAAACAAACAAAAAGTTGAGGTAGGCCATGACTCAAATGCTTTTATTCGAGAAATTAGTGCATATCTGCTTTACATCCAAAATGATCATATCAGTCTGTCTCATCAGGGCTACTTCTGTGGCCTGTGCAGACTCTATACTCCTTTGGCAAAGACTACCCATGTTACGAAATCCTCTTAAAGACATAAAGTCATCCTGAAAACCAAAAAAAGAAGCAGGGTGAAACCTGAAGAAAGCAAGGAGAAAATTCTGGTGTTTTAGTGGGACCCTGATCCTCTTAGCATAATAATTCAGTAATGCTGTTTTCAGATTTGTTAAGTGAACACTAGAGGTACTCTGACTTCATTATAGAGAGAAGGCCTGCTTTGCATATGAATAATCTTGGCTTCGCTCAAGACTTTTAAGAAGAATGACTTATGGTAACTGAGAAGTTACTTTGTCCTTCATGGGAAAAATATTTTTTGCTGAACAAAACAGGAAGAACAAAAACAAATACATTGAGTGACACAGCTATAAGAATTAAATAGATGGATGATTTATTACATATAAATATCAAGTACAATAAGCGCAGTTTCAATTCTTGTGTTCTAAATTTTAACCAAACAATGCAATTTAGTAGACGTTTTGATTGTACTGCTATGAAAAATGAATTTTCAAAGTTCGCCATGCGTAAATATTGATAATACATAAAACAAAAAATGGAAAACAGGCAGCCAAAGCCTTTGCGACAAATGGCTTTGGACTTTGGGTTAGATATTGGTCTTTTTCATGAAAAATACAACTACACAAGGAAAGCCCTACCTCTGCAAAATGCTGTTAATATTTGATGGCATTGTTGAATGTGAGTGTTGTGGAGAGAAATTCTGCGTCTCTGATCTACTTAAGTTTTCGTCAAACCTGATAAATATATTTCTGTGACATGATTCTGATGGTGAATGAACCTCTACCATATTTGTAGTGTTTTGTTGCATAGAGGAAGTGCCTTGTGCCACCTTATTAACATTAAACTTAGCAGTGGAATTTGTCATAATTTGAATAGATTTTTCCTAACTCAGGAATGTCAGATGTATTGTTCAAATAGCTGATATATTTACATGTAGACAAAGGAGCAAAAGTGTGATTTGACTCTTTTTCTCCAGAGGGGAGACAATAAGACAAGTTGGGGAATCTCCATTGTCATGTCTAATAGATGATTTACTGGATTGAATACTGACTTCAACAAACCCTGAAGATAGCTACAGTGAAGTCTTGCCCAAAGAGATAGATAGATATATCTGAGAAGCTTTGTGGATGACTTAACATGATATGTCTGTTATATTTCTTCTCAAAGATAAGTTGCTTCATGAGAAGCTTGAGTTGTTTGCAGAATACAAGCTGCTGGTTTGATAGATTAAACTTCCCTAAATTCTAACTACTGAGAATGTGTCAACATATTTTTCTTGTTTACTCTTAGACTTAGATGGACAAAAATTTGAGAAATGAAATTTATGTTTTTCAATATATAACATGGAGAAGAACCTTGAATCAACCAGTTGTTTAGATAAGGATAAACTTGGATGTTTGACCTTTGTTTCCAAAGGAACTCTGCAAGTATTTTTACGTACTTTGTGAATGATCTTGAGGCAGACAGAAGTCCAAAAAGCAGATTTTTCTATTGGTAATGTGTAGTGATCGTACCATGAATTGCAGAGAATTTCTGTGAGGGGAAAAAAGTGAAAGAGCCAGAAGAATCAAGCTTTGAAAATGTTCCTTTGTAGGCTCAACTGGTCTTTGGGATATACCAATATGTAAATTGCATATGCTCTAATTGCTTCTTATTGGACTAAGGAGCATACATTTCTAGGAATTTTAATATAACTCTTGAATCTTTTATTGTATTTAATTTTCAAAACTTTCAAATGGTAATCTATTGAACTTTTAATATCTTTAAGGATATCCAAGTTTTGTAACCATCTCATCTCATAACTATAGCTGTAGCCATGGTATCTGATGCAATGTCAGGTCCGTCCTGTGTCAAATTGAAGGGAGATCAAGAGTCTTTAATCAATTCAGAGCTATAGAACCAAGTTATCTCAAGAGACCCAGCACCAGGATGGGTTAAATTTTTCAAACTCAGATATAGGTATCTGATACCTATACCTTTTGTTAGTCATCTTATATGTCTTTTGCAATCACTGTCTATATACAGTGTGCACAGGTTTAAGGAGTCCTTCATTGATTGCCACTATCTTCCTGTCTGGTAAGGATGAGGGAGTACATCCAATAATTGGTAAGATTTTTTCTAGCCATTTCCAGTGGAATATCTAGGACATCAGTAATTCCTTTTAAGAAACTGCTGGATGTTTTGTTTTTTTTTAAATAATTGAATGAGGAGAAACATGAAGCCACCTCTTCATCCAGAGAAAACAATGATGCTACCAGGGGAAGTTCAGTATGGAGATGTTGTTCCTCCTCAGAGGTATGTTGTTGCTGTTGCTGAGGTGAATCTTGAGATTAAGGGCTGGGTTGTGATGTATAAGATTCCACTAGTGAAGGTGCCATTGGTTTGGAATATTTTGACAATACAGCATGTTTGAAATAGGAATGACTGTATGACAACTAGTGAGGAAGACCATCTAGTGTAGGAAGACCGTATGATAAGTGGAGCTTGTCAATGGATATCAAGCAACATGTGAACATCTATTTGTCTTATGTCCTGCGATCTAAATTGGTGTCTAAATTGAGTTTCTGCAGAAAAGTGAGCTAGTGTGTATGAAAGGAAGCAATATATTTCTGAGGAGATGTATGCCATGTCTACACAGCTTAGGGCACAGCAATGCTAACACATGCTGCAATCCAGGTAGGATACATCACATCTGCTCTATGTATACTAGCACCTAAACTACAAGAAGTATAGCACTGTGCTAGGCAGTTAGTGCCTACCTGCATTAATGCGGCTACATTTACTTCCAGTATGAGAGGTAATACACCTCAAGTGAGCCTGCCATATCTCAGCATTGATGTTGCTTTGCACTGAATAGAAATACCCTTAGTCTTTTTTGATTGTTCCTCTATCTTCTGCTCAGTAGAAGAGTAGGAGGTACTCTTGGAGACAGTCCATGGCCTAGCTTTTTCTGCAAGGTGAAATGTTTGAACGCTGAGGATCCAATATTGTCCAACTTCAGATTTTTCCAACAGAGCTTCCCAGTCATGCCTGCAATTAATTTTATTGCCTGTCTAGATTTTTTCCAAGTTTTTTTTCTTTTTTAGTAGGGTAATTAAAATATCATATTGTTCAAAAGGAGACCATGCTATCCAAAAATCCACATTAAATATGTTACCTGCTTCAAAAGTTAGATGCCAGATTTATGGTTGTTTGTGAAACCTTAATTTTCCTGTTCTTCCTACTGGGAGTTTCCAACTGCATTTTTTAACCCAAAGGTTGGAAATCAGGTTCCAGGGTATAGTTTGGAAAAGTCTGGCTGATGATTGGCAGGGAACCAGAATAGGCAATTAACTCTTATTCCAAATGCCTGAGAGGTGGGATTTGCTACTGGGATAGGTCTTGAAGGACAGGTTTATAGGCAGAGAGCTTTAATTTTAATAAGAAAATGTGTTGTTTTCCTGACCCCTTCTCTTCTGAAAAGTGAAGAAGGGAAGTTGTATGATTTCTTTGCAGTGTCATTATATAACAGAAACCATCCTAAGCCATGTTTTGGAAATGGACCCTTTCACTATTAGAAATGGAGTAAAAAAAAGATGTGTGATTGCACCAACACTCTTTTCCA